TGTAAAATGTGTCTGTGACTGTGACCTGTGGCTGTAGCTGTGACCTGTGGCTGTGGCTGTGGCTGTGACCTGTGGCTGTTGAGCAGCCCGTGGCACCTGAGTTGCCGTGTAGAAACAACTCCACCTGCAATTAAATAGAAACCCAGGCTGAAGCGGACGCCCTCGTGCTATAAATCCGTATCAGAATCATTAATTACAGAAATAAAGACCAACAGTGGCATGAAGGGCATGATAGTTTATTTTAAAAAGCGGTACCACACTGATCTTCATGACCAGCGCACACATTATGATGGCTTTTCTCTTGGGTATTCACATCGCAGTATCTTTTATACTGAAATGTTCCAACAGGACCAAGAACGTTAGAGAAGTGAAGACTCGGGCGGAAGTGAGCACGGGAACTCCAGGGGCCGAGCGCAGAGTTACCTGAGCCACCGAGGACCGCAGCTCGGGGTGTGGTCGCCGTGAGCACAGCATCCTCCAGGCGGCAGCGCGAGCGTGCACTCCCGGTGCCTCCATCTTCAGTCCGTATCACCGACGCCCTGCCCACCGTGGCCCAAGCACAAGCCTCTGAGACCCCTCGGGTCGTGTCCAGGCTGCCAGAGCAGGAGTTTAGTGATTTTAAAAAGAAGATCAAACCACCATCAAAATAAAGAGGCAAAGAAAACGGGTTTTCAAATCATTTGAAAGCATAGTGCATATTTGCCCAATACAGACCCAAACTTAGAGCAAATGCTAGAATTACCATCTCCGAACTCCTGCCATAAAATTAGCATTTATACACACATGGGTTTTGCTTATCAAACTGTATTTTACCATCAATGAGAGGAAGTCACTCCTGAGAGACAATGAATTTGGTCACAGCCCCACGTCCCAGGAGACAGCCTAAGGAATACAGTGTTGCTAAGCCATGAGACCCCGATCTTAGAAACCCTGCCCATGTGAGACTGCTCTCCGGAGGAACTGTGCTGTGGAGTAACTACGTCGCTAACTGCCCTTCCTTAACCAGCACGACACACCAGCACTTCCCACTGGCCTCTGCTCTGCTCCACGCTGGCGCGCAGGGTTCCCGCGGCCGCGGAGGTCTCCCTTCCTACAAGCAGCAGATGCCGCCACCGTCACTGACAGTCGCATCTCCAAACGCAGCCACACGGTGCTGAGCTCAGCAAGGACGAAAAACATGGAGATCCAGGCACTTCCAGCCAGAATCTTTGTGCTTTTTAAAATGAAGCTGCTTGGGAATCTTTTTGGTATGCGTCAGCCTTTGTATTTTCTTTAAAAGAATATATTTACGGTAATTTTTAATGTTAAATGTCCTGGGGCTTATCAGTACTTAAAAATAACAATTCTTCCTGCTTTCAGCATCTGGAATAGAATTACTTCTGGTCCCTCCTCAGATAACGCTATCTGCATCGCGTGGAACACTGAATTTACAGACATCCCTGAAAAGTGGTCGATTAAGTAAACGAGTGAGCGAATCACAGTGGAGTCTCGATCGGTTAACAGTGTAGATCTGTTAAAACAATCACACTGAACAGGAAAAGACATCTTCAAGCTAAAAAGGAAAGAAAAGAAACCCTCCTAGGCAGAGCCGAGTGTGTCCTCACCGAATCTGTGCTTGTCCCGCGGGCCGGCCCCTGCCT